GCCTGTCATGGAGGCAGAAAGATTCCAGAAGGCTGCTGACGTGCTGTCCCGCCACTACGGTGGAGGATCCTTCACGAAGGGAGTGAGGAGGAGCAGTAGCGGTACAAACCAATCTATTTCCCAAAGCCGCGAAGCGTCTCACGAATTAAGTGAAGAAGAGGAGGAGATAAAAGTATAGATGTCAAAACTCTGAAACTGTCCAGCGACCTGGGTTCACGAGGGAGGAACGTGTGACTTTCTGTTCCTCAGAAACATCCTTCATCCTTTACACATGCATGTACACGGAAATAACTGACCAATACTCAGTCATGATGCCAGACCCCCCCCTTCCTGGACAACACTGCTGTTGTGATATTAAACTGTCTATTTATTTGTTGCTTTTCAGTATACAGACAACTAACACTATGTAGTCATGATGTTCTGAAGCAAATTAAAAGAACAATAAAGAGTTCGCAGGGCTGAGGTGTCAAAGGGAAGCTGGGATTTAAAGGAACAAAGTAGCTGCATTATGTTTCAATATTAACACATTACAGTCCCTGTAAATAAATTTAACAGAAGGGATTGTTTTGTTTTTATTTTGTTTTTTTACAGGTTCAATTCTAATACTAATCCAAAGTCTATATGATGACCTCCTGTAACAACTATAATACTCAGTAAACATGTATCAGTGTTAGACTCGATGTTGAATAAAGTGTGGGCTGGTGTAATAAAAGACTGATTTAAAACATGAAATATCTGCTTACATTATCCATTAATGATGTAATCCCACTCCCACTATTAGTCTGTCCTCTGGATTTCCTTATCTTAATGTTTTATTGCAAACATAAAACGTGGCTGATCCTGATACAATGCAGCTCAGTCTACTGTGATCCTGCCTCAGACTCTGATTGGCTCTGTGAACAGTCATGAGTCAGACTGTAAATCACTCTGACTCGTGACCTACTTTGAGAGGGGATGGTCTGCACCACTACAGTGGGCAGAGTCAGCTTATTTACAAGTCCTGTTTAAATGTGATAAAGTGCTGCACAACGTCAGACATCGGTGATAACAAATAAGAAACTCTGAGAAGTGTTTCAGCTTTGCGCCCTGCCATATACACTAAAGGTGACAACGCTTCTACAAAAGAAGTGTGACTGAATTAGAGGGAGACAGGTGGAAACAGAACATGCAAGGAGCAGAGATAGTTAAGGCAGAGGAGTTTAAATACAACCATCCAAAGAAATGGTCAGTGCACAAGAGAGGTGAAGAAGAGAGAGCAGGCAGTGTGGAGCAGGTGGAGACCCGTGTTAGGGATGATGTGTGACAGAATGATAGCAGAAAGAGTGAAAGGTTTATAAGATGAGAGTAAGATCTGCTGTGATGCTTGGTTTGGACACAGTGGCACTAACAAAAAGACAGGAGGCAAAACTAAAGACATGAAGAAGAAGAAAAACAAGAAAAGAAACACCTGTGCATCCTTGATAATAACTCCTCCACAAACCTCCTCTTTTATCTATCTTCCAGATTAATTTTAGGAACTGATACATCCTTCAAGGTTGTGTACTAACTGACTTCTGGTCTGGTTTTTATTTGGAAGAAGTAATGTTGAGGCTGCTGCAGCCTCTCTTGGTAAACCGTAATGGAGCTGCATGTCCTGCAACTTCATTGTATGTATTAATTTAACAATCATAATCTCTTAATCGCTCAATTTTCATTTATTTGAAAACAGTTTATGATTTTTTTTCACTTAAGTAAATGTTTAATAGTGAATGTAGTAGACCGATTCTTTGGGTTCAGTCATGTCTTCGACAACTCTGTGTTCACCACGCTTGTTGCAAAGACGTGCAAAAGCACACCTGAAAATGTGTGTGCAAAACTGCAGCTGCGCAGGTCATGTGGTGATAGAATAAGTACACTGGTATGTGTAAGTACATTTTCTTTGTCAGCAAGCGAGCTAAAATGTATTTAGCTGCCAAATGGAGATTATCAGTGTGATTAAATGAGTTTGTTAGGCCAGCTAGAAGCCTGCTGGACACTCCTAGGTGAGGTGTTTCAGATATGTCCCATCAGGAGGAGCCGCAGAGTTAGAACTGTTACATCTTTTGGCTGGCTTGTGAAATGCTTTGGGAGCATCAGCAATGAGTAAGACCAATTTTTCACTCGGTGCTACCTCAACACTCAGCATAACTGCTGTTACAGTCGATCTGATGTGCTCGCTTTGCCTACAAATATAACAATGACAACGCTCAGATCAATGTATTTTCTAAAACTACCTTACATAATAACCAGTAAATAGCCGAGCCTTAGTTTAGTCCAGATTAAACATACTATGAAGAACAAAATGGGACATCATTGAGAGCCGCATTTCTTCATGGGAGACTTCATTTACTCACTCATACACACATGAATCTTTTTCAGGAGGGTTCCAACCATTAAAGACAAACTGGAGCTACAATCCATGTTGTGTACCAACTTGAAACCATTTGCGGTTGATTTTATAGATCTCACTAGAAATAGACTGTATGCCATTTAAATGCAATAGTATGCCGATTGCAGTGGAGAATCAGATGATATAACCAAACACGATGTCAGGTATAGAAGCTATTGATGCATTTGATGCCCAGAGTGGACACCAAACATACATAAATATAAAATTTATTTAATCCCACACTGGGAAATTCACTTGTTACAGCAGCACAACTGACAGCTAGAAAAGTGAATTGGAGATATATTATATCAGCGCATTAAAAAAAGCCAAAATCCTATAGTATTTACAGATGGTTACTATATACAGTAAAATACAACATTTTTTTAATAGTGATAATTATATACATGAATTTTTAAATAGTATTATCACCTCAAACAAAGAGATGCATACTGGGTTTAGGCTCTTTAGGTCACCAGTTACCCTGGACGTCTATGGCTCATGTGTCTTGTGATAAATACTTTGGTCCTAAAATAGAGTCACTTTGTTGGTATAAATTAAATTAAATCAAATTTTTAATGCTGGGAGGTCAGTTTCTTTATCATAATTATGCAAATTCTCCTGACAATTGATCAACAACCACTGATCAAACACCACTGACCTCGCAGTCCATTGTTCCTTCTGTGGGCTGGTTTCAGTCATTGGGGAAACCTGCAGTCAGCTGAGACTGAAGAAGTCACTTGGATGAGTGATGAAATGTTTCTCCCACTGAAAACGCTGCGTCCAGACTAGCACTGAAGTGTTTGTCACACCTTCTGCAAATACCACCTTTTCCACAGAATGCTTCAATGAGTCTGGTAATGCTTGAAGCATGACGGCTTAATCTGGTTCATTTTTCAGATGTTTCTTAGTATTACTGTTTCATCTGAAAGCTGGCAGAGCCTGTTATCACGCCCCTTTGCCCACATAGTGTTTTTCCAATTTTTCAACAATAAATGACCTTTGGACTGCTCTTATGTCTATTTGCGCCCGATAGTAAAGACTTAAAAAACAGGTTTAAACACAGGTCTATAAGGTCTGTGTGATTTTTTTTAATCATTGCTTGTTCGATTTTTTCCACTTCTCTTCAAATGACCTCAATTCAATTTAATTCAGTTTCATTTATACAGTACCAACTCAGAACAACAGTCGCCTCAAGGTGCTTTAAATTTATATTGTAAGGTAGACCCTATAATACATGGAGATGAAAACCCAACAACCACATGACCCCCTATGAACAAGCACTTTGGTGACAGTGGGAAGGAAAAACTCCCTTTTAACAGGAAGAAACCTGCGGCAGAACCAGGCTCAGGGAGGGGCGATCTGCCGTGACCAGTTGGGGTGAGAGAAGGAAGACAGGATAAAAGACATGCTGTGGAACAGAGCCAGAGATGAGAGAGGTGACTGAAGAAGACATACTCAGGGCATCATGGGAGTCCCCCGGCAGCCTACACCTATTGCAGCATAACTAAAGGAGGATTCAGGGTCACGAGGTCCAGCCCTAACTATACGCTTTAGCAAAAAGAAAAGTTTTAAGCCTAATCTTAAAAGTAGAGATAGTGTCTGTCTCCCAAATCCAAACTGGAAGCTGGTTCCATAGAAGAGGGGCCTGAAAACTGAAGGCTCTGCCTCCCATTGTACTTTTAAATACTCTAGGAACAACAAGTAGGCCTGCAGTGCGAGACTGAAGTGCTCTAATGGGGATATATGATACTATAAGGTCATGTGAGAAGCAGGATTTTAACTTCAGTTCTGGATTTAAGAGGGAGCTGATGAGGGGAAGCCGTATAGGAGAAACATGCTCTCTCTTTCTAGTCCCTGTCAGTACTCGTGGTGCAGCATTTTGGATGCATACATACAAGTATTTTTAACTGTGGATCATATCAGAATACTTTATTAATCCCGAGGGAAATTAGGGTTAAATAGGGATATTTCAGGTGATTTGAGATAGTGGACAGAAACAGCAGGCATGGTTGGCAAGTTTTAGCATGTCAGACAGAAATACTCTTCTAAGTATTTTTATGTACGATTGATTTTATCTGTCTCTTATTTATGAGTCATCTGCATGCAGGAGAGTTTTCTTTAGCTTCCTCTGTTGTGCATTGTGGTCTATTGGAAGTATTCCCTCATATCTTGTCAGATTCCTATTTATTCCAATAAGTAGAGCAGCCACCTGTGAGAAAAGATAAAATCTGTGTGTGTGTGTGGGTGTGTGTGTGTATTTGCCTTCAATAACAAGTTGAAAAGGTAAAACCAAGCGAGCATAAATGTAGGATTTAACGCTCTATGTCACCTCCATGTTTCCAGTAAATATTCTATCTCTTACTATAATTCCTGCTTGTAGAATAGTACCTGCTTCACTTGGGCTGCACTCAGCCTACAGTTTTTTTGTTTCCAGATAAATCTTGCAATCAAGTCCCTGTCGCATTAGTTCACACCATAAAACCAAAACCCAATTGGTGGTATTTTAAAATCAAGTCTAACTAGCCTTACAGGTCTCAGTATCAAACAGCAACAAACGCGGGGTTTTCTGTAAGTTGCAAGTCTTGACTTGAATTTTGTTTCTCTCTCTTTACCTGTTTTCATCGCTGAATGGCCAGTTTTATGTACAATTAGTTTTCCTGGATCACTGCACACAGTTCCGTCAAAAGAAGGTAGGAGGGATTTGTTAAGGTAGGGAGTTAAATAGTACCTCAGATCTCAGATAAAGCAGACCCGAGGAAAGGAACACAAGGTGAGTCCATGCTACAGAGCTTACAGAATACGCTTTCAAATATATGATTCAAACTGAATCTTTTCATTTTATCATTTTGAATAATGTGAAGCTGCCTTTAGGTCTAAATGATACTAAAAAGCAGCCTGAAGTCACATCATTAAAAAGGAGCACTGTGAGGATGTTGTTTGGGCAAATTTAAAGCGCAGAGTATTTTCTACTAATAATGCACTAATTTGTTAACAAAGATGCAGTCAGTTCGTTTCAGTAAAGAACTACAATCTATGAAGAAATCAACAGCAAATCAGCGGATCAAACACGGTGGTGGAGCAAAAGAAACAGTAAAGGGTTCTCTCTGAAACACGGCAGTCAGATAAATGAGAGGCTGATGAAGCGAAATTGAAATGATTTTGAAATAGAGTTTATATTTACACACTGGATCTTATAATAGTGAAGTGCATTTGTCATGCGTTTCATTTTTAAATAGCTTTTGTTCCTATTACTGCAAGATATCTGTGTTTCTTTCTCTTGTATGACTCTGCAGCTCAGATGGAGGAGACGGCAGCTGACAACAAGGTAAAGGAATTTTACCGATGTCCTTATCTCACAGTTACATCGTTGTGGTAATAGGATTTTCTGTCACTTTGAGTTTTGGATTCTTTTATTATCATTCTTACATTTTTAGTTTAACTTTTATTTTATTTTGCTTCAGTTCTTTCTTTTTTTTTTGACTTGCTGTCCTAACTGTTCCGTGTTTGCACCTTTGTTCTCCTGTGGTCCTGTTTATTTGGGTCTTGTTTAGTGTTAGTCTTTGTGTGTCAGTGCACTTGCCTCTTGTTTATTTCCACTTCCACAAGTTACTTTGGTGGCTCGCGTTCATTTGTTTGTCCTTTGTGATTGTTCTGCATGCTTTCAACTGTGTGAAATTACTTTCACAGCTTCTGTCTCTCATTCCCCATCAGCCCTCATTGTCACAAACACTGTGTACGGTCCCTCGTGTGCTCTCCAGAAGGAGGTCCTTGTCATTCATCGCTGGTTTTTGTGTTTGTTTTTGTTAATGTTGGGGTTTTTTACTGGTTTTTAAAGGCTCGCTTACTGTTGGAGCAGTTCAGCCTGCATCCCACATTTGGATGCTCACCTCGACATTCCACACACCTGTTGTGACCTGCATTTGGTTTATGGTGTCAGATTTGTCACAAACAAAAATGTCACTAAACAGTCATAAATACAGGATTCTAAACAAGACTATGTAGTATTTTCTATGTAAAGATTTAGTAGAAAATGGCATCCTGTGTAAATAACAAAGTCACACCAACCTGGTGTGTGTTGTAGTTCAGGTTTCTCTGTTCAGTGTTCGGATAACCAGTTTTGGCCTTTTTTACACAAAGAAAGAAACATAATCTTTACAGGATGCAGAGTAAATGTGAGGTTACATCTAATGTTTTCACACTGAAATACTGGTGGAAATAATGCTCAGGATTTAGAAAGTGATTATGTGTAATGATGTGGGCGTTTGTTGTCTTTGTCTGAAGTCCAAACCTGTTGGGCTGTCTGTAAATAAAACACACCTAACTGTTTTAGTCTGAAATCCTACTGTGATATGAGTGGTTCTAGATTTTTATCATCTCATGTTTAAGTAATTTTTTTTTCATTCAAATGAGCATTTATTAAATATACTTGAACCTCTCTTTTTCATTTGAGATTAAAATGTTTTGATTGAATGTTTTGCCCTATAATAGAAGAACAGAATAGCTCTTTATTGTCATTGTACATGCACAATGAAATTATGGAAAAACACACTGTAACTCTTTTCTTAGTGCCTTCCAGCGAATGATGCTCATGAAGCTCAACAACCAGAAGAGAATGAGGAAAAGGGCAAGACTAAAACTACGTCTGAATCAGTTGCAGATAAAGACAAAGGTAATATTTTTAATCAGAAGCTTGGATTTTATAGCTTATATTTGCATTTTAAACTTACTGATTTTGTTTGGTTTGTTTCAGAACTGCCTGAGCTCACAATTGTGTTATTTGGTGACACAAATTCCATGGAGATTGGGCCAAACAACATTTTACTTGACCACAAAGAGAAATCCAATGTGGATCAGTTTTCATCCAAGTTGTATGATATGTGTGGTCGGCAAATCTCTGTCATTAATATGATCGGTCTCCAAAATGTTGCTAAAATCCCATCAAATCAGGCATTTCATGTCTTTCTCTTACTGGTGCCATATGGTCTGCATTGCAACCATTACAGCTCAGGGATTCAGTGGCTAGAAAAGACGTTTGGAGAAGGATTTCTTCCTTATGTAATGACTGTTGTAACTTGTGAGCCAGGTGAAAAATGTGAAAGTGCACTGGCAGACCTGAAAGCTAACAGTGGTTTGACTGAAAAAAGATTCCACACATGTACAAGAAATATGACAGATGAAGATGAGATAATAGCTCTGTTAGAGAAAATAGATATCATGGTCTCTGAAAACAATCCCCACTGCTACAGTGGACTGATGTGTGATGAAGACAAAGACGAGGATCATCTGCAGCCAAACAAAAAAGAGGATGAGATCAGATCTTCAGGTTATCAGCATAAACAAAAAGGTGAGATGTTATGATGGAGAGAACTTAATTCCCATAAATACAGGTTTTTATGTTGAATGTTGTTGTTTTTATTTTACTTTTAATGCTTTTTATTGTTTTTCCCCTGATTTTTGCTCTTGGCTTTCCAAAAATATTTTTATTAACATCCAATTCCCAATTACTGTAGAAATTAGCAGTAGATGTAGTAGAGGTTTTATGTTATTAACTCCATAACTGGTTTGCTTGAATGTTTACAGTGACCATTTCGTTTTAACAGGATTTACCTCATGTCAGCAAAATGCCCCCAACTATATATCAGATCCCCTCATTGTAGGGGTCAGTTTCTTTTTCCTTAGTTTAACATTTGAGGCACTGGTTTATAGTTATTACTTTGAATACATAAACCAAACAATCCTCACCAGTTACTACCAGAACATATAGCTTTTAAATAGAAACAAAAACACGAATAACATGCCTTCACATAGAAATAAAAAAATATAGCTTCCCAATCCCACTAACACTTTCTTCCCTGAGAAGCTCATAAGAGTTACTCAGTCCAGGATCAGGATAATTCATTTAACTGTTCAATGACGCAGCTGTTACAGTAGTCCATGAACATGGGTTTTCTGGGTTTCAGGAATATCTATTACGCTGTAATTAAATATTTTAGTGGAGAAAGTGGCCTTTTGTATTTGTGGCTATTGGTAGCTGTCAAAGCTGAGCATTAGTAATTATGGCTACTGGATCCTGTCAGGGGAATGCCAGTGGCGGCTGGCTAAGGAGGTCGTGCCCCGCCCCCACCCAGCTGCTTCCAGGTTGACCATCTCAGGGGAAGACCCCCCATTTTCAATGTTTGTATGGGTGTCAAGCACACACAGTGTTGCTGCCAGACCTAGACTCCTGCGAGCACTGCTGCATAATGCAGATTGTTGGCAGGTGTTGGCAGCCTGAAAAGCCATTGCTTGTGTTTCTGACACGACAGCGAAGCCTAGTGGTAAATCCAGTTCAGCTGCTGCTTGCTGGGTGGACATAGTCGAGGACACGGAGGCTCATTTTCCTCCTAGACTCTGAAGAAGGGCACAGAGAAGATGAGGAGGAGGATATTAACAAACATATCCTTGGAGATGAAAATTAGGTGGATGAGGAAGATTCCATTCTTTTTTCCTTACAACTATAGGCAGATCACACTACTCAGCCTTCCCAGGAAGGCCTGTGCTAGGGTACCAGAGAGGGGAGTCCATCCATTAGTTGAACCTCAGATTGAAGAACAAGTCATGGAATGCTAAACCAGCTCTTTGTCCTCTCTGGGCTGTTTGAGTGTGTATGGGAGTTTTTCCAACCACTTTACATGTGCTTTGTAGACTTGCAGAAAATAAGCCACCATGTTGAAGGATTCTGTGGTGGGTACTTTTGGAGTATTGGGTACCTGGCCCATTCTTATCAATCAGAATCAGAATCAGAATCAGAATACTTTATTAATCCCTGGGGGAAATTATTTTTTGTTACAGTGCTCCATTTTAAACCAACATTAAGACAAGACAGCCTTTCGGTCCCTGCACAATCTCAGTGAGACCCTAGTTTGCATTACCAACAGTAAGTCATTTTTATGAGGCCATGGTTCTTAGCTGGAAAAGGGTTAGTGCCCAGGGATGAGTTGCAGCCCCAAGTGGAAGTGTTTAAGTTTCTTGGAGTGTTGTTCACAAATGAGGGGAACAAGAGAACTCTATGGATCCCAAAAAGTTGATTCTGTTCATCTGGGCGTAGGGTTTTCAGCGGGAGAAATGTTTCGTCACTCAACAAAGTGACTTCTTCAGTCTCAGCTGACTGCAGGTTTCCCCAATCTTATAAATAGTATATTGGGGAAGATTGGGGAAACCTGCACCCAGGACCAAGGAGAGGGAGGTCTGGGCTTCACTGCATCTTGGCCTTGGACTGGACTGGTTAGATCTAACTGAATGCAGGCAACCCTACAAATAGAAACTGAAGATGGCTGCATTAAAGGCCTGGCAGAGCATCTCAAGAGAGGAAACAGCATTTGGTCCATGTTTTTTAGAGTTCAGTCAGTCATTGACTGCAATGGATTCTCATCCAAATGATAAAACAATCCTGATCTATAATGATGTCATTCTGTCCAATTAATTTCGAGTCGTTGAAAACGGAGGCTTATGAATAAAAATGGCTGTAATTCCTAAACAATTAACACAACCTTTTTTGTAAAATCCCTTTAATTAAAGCTAAAAGTCTTTTCTTCCATCACATCTTGATTGTTTGATTTAAAATCCACTATGGAGGAGTATAGGGGCAAAACTACAAAAATAGTATCTTCATTTAACTAATTATGGAACCACCATTCCTAATTATTTAGAGAACTTAATTAGCTCCTGATATGGTCGACATGGGTCACTTCTCTCAGTTAGGAACTTTAAGTGAAACTGTTTGTGTTTGTCTGAATCTGCATGTACGTAAACTTACAGACTTTTTTTTACACTAATTTTACTAGTTGGCTACACAATGCTTCCCCCAGCAGATTTACCTCATTATGCATTTCAAAAAAGTTCATGAAATACTTTTGCAGCAGTTTGACTGTTTATTTACTCATTGTACAGATTATATCGGATATGTTCTTTAATTTTTCTTTTATATAATTGTGCTGCTACTATAGTGTATTATACCATTATTGAAATGTATTTTGTCTTTATTATTATTACTTTTAGAACTAGCCTCTGCTCTTCGACAGTCGGCCTCTGCTGTTGGACGATCAGCATCTGCTGTTGGACAGTCAGCCTCTGCTTGTTGGACAGTTGGCCGCTGTTTTTGGACGGTTGGCCGATGCAGTTGGGCATTTGGTCGCTGCGGTTGGAAGGTTGGCCGCTGCGGTTGGACGGTTGGCCGCTGTTTTTGGACAGTCAGCCGTTGTGGTCGTGCGATGAACTGCTGCCTTTGGTTGGCCACCCGCTGCTGCTGGGTGGTCAGCCACTGTGGCTGGGCATTCAGCCGCTGCTTTTGGAATTTCAGGCACTGGTTTTGGGCAGTCAGCCGCTGCTACTGGAAGGTCATCCGCGGATGCTGGAAGTTCATTCGCTGGTGTTGGATGGTCAGGCGGCATTGTTGGGACTGTATGCCACTGCTCTAATATCTTGTTTATATTTTAAAGACCAAATTTCCAAATGCAGAATTTGCTTTAAACAGACTAAACTGTTCCCGTTTTGATCTAGATTTTGTATTATATATGATGCGATATTGTGTCCACCCAGTAGTAATCTATCCCAGTTGAATTTTTGTGCATTTTCATTGTGTTTTTATGTTCATTTATCATAATGTCTGCTTCCTTGTTGCCCAGGTCACTCGGGAAACTAACTTTTTAAATCTCAGGGAATTTGTTTATCAAAAGAAATCATTGAAATTACCCAATGGGCAGAAATTACAACTGCGATAATGATGACTAGCTCCCCTATTTATCTGGAAAGTTTTTTTCCTAATATCATCACTTTAATTATGTAAATTTCCCCCTGAGACATTATGTCCTCTGTAGTTGACACAGATAAACAGAGAGGTGCGTTTTTTCCCTCAGTTCTTAAGAGGTTAATAATGTTAAATCATATACAAACACCAAAAGATTTTGGTTTAATCGAATATATAAAACAATATATTTGTAGATTTGGAAAAAAATGTGCGTCATTGAGTGTTGTAGTTCCCTAACTCCTTTACTTTGCAGTCTCTAAACAAAGGCTGTGTGAGACTAAATTTTAATAGCGCCATATGTGATTTCAGTCAGTAGAGGGCACTGTTTACTGTTAACTTATTTGTAGTGGCTCAGCATACAGAGAACTAATATTATACAATCATGAGTTAATTTACAACAGCAAGATGCACTCCAACAACACAAACCTTCACCAAGGCAACTCACTGTCGGTGTATTTTGTATATTTTCATTGTGTTTTCTTTGATATTTTGAAACCTTTTTCATGTGAATATAGTACATGCATGACATTTATTTCATTCTTTAATAAAATTCATTTAAATGTTTAATAATAAATATTAAAAGTATGCATGAGAATTCTACATGTATTCAAACTGTTATGTATCTAAACACTTATAATCTGTTACTGTTGTGTACATAACAAAGTCATAATAAAATAAATGTTACCAAAACAAACAAAAGTTGCACAATTTTAAGCCTATTTTTAAAAGATAAAAGACATTTTATGAATGTTTCACCTTATTTAATCCTACAGAAGAGGTCAGAGGTTCAAAGTAACAATATAATTAGAATCATTCCCTAAATGTCTGTATGTTGTCAATACAAATGTCAGTGAGAAACATAGATTTAACTAGCTATAGCAGTTTTTATCACTTTGACAGTCTATTGACTTTGAAGGAGAGGTCAGAGGTCAAATGTGACATGATATCTGAAATCTGCATATGGCCAGGGACTTGCAGGGGGTGTGAGCACCTGCCCTTTTTAACTTTGAGCACCTGCCTCTTCGGAAATCTCTGCATGGCTCTGCTCAGCAGAGCTCTGACTTTTGGTCAGTCTGGCTGTAGTGCTGAAGAGAAACCTAGGGTTGTTCTTATTTCCTTCAATAAGTGATGAATAGTAAGATGTCTACTACTGAGGATTTTTTTTTTTAAAGCAGCAAATTGGCTTAAACTGGCTCCAGGCTAAATGATGATCTTCTAAATTAGTGAGAGGATATTTCTTCTCCAGCCTACGAGTTATCTGCTTTAAAAGAAGTTGTTACTTGAGTCACCTTTGCCTTCCTATCAGGTTAAATGCATCTGGACATTGTCCTCTGGCATAAACAAATTGTCACTCACTGGGTATTTTTTCTTTTTAAGACCGTTCTTTATAAACTTCTGAGATACTTCTGTGGGGAGTTCCACTTTCTGAGATTCTCAGACTAACCAATCTAGCACCAACAACTATGCTACATCACTTAAATCACCTTTCTTCCCCATTCTGATGCTCGGTTTGAACTTCAGTGAGTCGTCTTGACCACGGTGCATGCTTAAATCCTAAATATACTGAACTGCTGCCATGTGATTGGCTAATTAGATATTTACATTAACAAGCAGTTGAACAAGTACACATATTGAAATGGCTAGCGCCTGCCTGTTTGTGTGTGTGTGTCTTTGTCAGTGTTGGGACTAACGCGTTATTAAGTAACGCGTTACAGTAATTATGTTATTATTGTGATAACGAGCACGGTAAGTAGTTATTATGCCAAAACCAGGAACGTGGATTTAGATAGGCTCGTTATTCGTTACTTCGTGTGGTGGCAATCGCGGAGCTTCCACAGATTCAGTAACATTAGCAAGTGGTGGAGGCCAGCAGGTGGATGAGGGAAAAGGGAGGAAAGAGGAGGAGAGAAGTTATGACCTGCAGTCTCTCTGGGTCAGATATAAACCAAGTTTAGTTGGAGTTTATATTCGTTATGCTGACTTTTTCGTACTGCGTGCTAGCTAGCATGACGGGGTTTCTATACAGCTGGGTGGTGCTATGTTACTGATGTTGAACTTTATTTTGTTCATAAGGTTAATTATTAGAGTTGCCAGCCGTCCCCTAAAAAACAGAATCATCTCATATTCAGAGAAAATATTACGTTTCTTATTGAGGTGAAAAG